TAGACCTGGAGTCACTTCCAAGTTTGACTTTCTCAGAGAAAGGACCAAGGTGTGCTCTGAGAGACCCTTTCCAGCAGCTCTTGGCTCAGAGACAAATGAAGAAGGGGACTGGGATTGGCAGGAGGCTCTCCCGGTTCCTTTGTATTCCCACCACGATATGCCAACCAGCTAGCCAGCCCTGACAACTCATACTTATTTGGAAAGGATAGAGAAAGTAATCCCCCTCCATGACACTTTGGGGAGCCTCTCACAAGTGGCAACCTGTCTTTCCACACTGTCTCTGCACAATGCAAAGTCTGCCTAGAAGAATCGATGGGATAAAGTCTGGCGGGGAGGGGAAGGGGCTGGGAAGACATTTGGAATTGTCCCTAAATCTAACTGTCAAAAGGACTGAGGTTTATTTTTTTCTTCTTCAAAATCATAAATGCCTGAAAAACAACAGGACAATATCCACTTTGATGGTATGTAAGCAGGACTGAACTACTCCCCTACAAAGCCCCACCTCCTCCCTTCCACCTTCTTTCTACTCTGTATTAATTTCTTCACTGATAAGGATAGTTTCTCGGAGCTCTCTCATCAGGAGAACAGATTCCAAGGTAACTGAGTCAAGCTGAAGAGAATCTACCATGTCTCAGATCAGGCCAGTTCTCAAATGGCCAGGGTAATAGTGGATGGCAGAATCACCAGCACCAGCAACTCAGCGTCGTTTAGAAGCTTCCAGAATGTTTTGTAAACAGGCATGTTCCCGTCCTGGCCTGTGTCCCTCACAGTGCTCCCACCCCGTGTCTCCCAGCACCACTGTTAAGCACTGCCCACTTTTCCCATATTCACCACCTGGCAGCACGTGACAGACCAGAACTGAGATGTAACTTGAGCCACACACACCAGATGTCAACGGAGCCCATCACACTTCTGTATGTGTCTTGCTTGCCCATCTCCTGGTGTCACCACCTCAACAGCTGCACACAAATACTGGTATTCAGAGTAAGGGGCAGCAAAACTGTCTCACGGCAGACAAACTGAGTGGGAGAAGTCCTCTGTCGACTTCATGGAAGGAGTCTCTGGGTTGCTTCCTCCCCGCCATGCCACTCTGACTACTCAGAACATCCCAGGCCTCTCGTAGGTCCTCCATCTCCTCCAGTCACCAGCCAGTTTGTTCTTTACATGTTTCCTTATTGTTCGTGTGTGTGTGTGTGTGTGTGTGTGTGTGTGTGTGTGTCTTAGTTATTGTTCCCATTGCTGTAAAGAGACGCCATGACCAAGGCAACTCTTATAAAGGACAACATCTAATTGAGGCTGGCTTACAGCTTCAGAGGTTCCGTTCATTAGCATCATGGCAGGAAGCACGGCACCCTGCAGTCAGACACAGTGCTGGAGAAGCTTCGAGTTCTACATCTTGATGCGAAGGTGGCCAGAAGAGACTCTCTCTTTTCCTCACCAGGCAGGCAAAGCTTGAGTACTAGCAACCCTCAAAGCCCTCCTACACAGTGACACATTTCCTCCAACAAGGCCACACCTATCCTAATAAGGCCACACCTCCCAATAGTGTCATTCCCTGTGGGCCAAGCGTTCATATACATGAGTCTATGGGGGCCAAACCTATTCAAACCACTACAGTGTGTGAGTGTGTGTGTGTGTGTGTGTGTGTGTGTGTGTGTGTGTGTGTGTGTATGTGTGTGGTGTAAATGACTGTGGGTGTATATATGCCAGAGTATATACATGGAAAACAGGGAAAACTTTCTGAAGTTGGTTCTCCCCTTCCATCATAGAACTGAACTCAGATCTTCAGGTTTCAGGGTGGTTGTTTTTATCTGCTGGGCCGTCTTGCCATCCCAACCAACTATTAATCCAGAATGGATTAGCTATCTATGTCCTCTTCCGGACCACTGTCTTCCAAATCCAGGGAGCCAGGAAGGGCATGGCTGCCAATAGATCCTGTTCATACTGAGAAGGATCACTTGAAGATTTGCTGTCTGGAGGACTCCTTTGTGCCAGATCTCCTGGGCACAAAGAAATGAAGAAATGTGGTGAGGGTGTGATGGGGCTGGGGACCATGCCACTGCAGAAGTCAGTCCTGGAAGGAACAGGCAGGTGGGCAGCTTAAGGCTAGTGTCATCTTAGATTTCATGCCAGGTTGAGTCTGAGTTTTCCAGTTTGGTTGGCAAAGCATAGCCTAGGAGAATTAAGAGACAGTTAGAGGCTCAGAGTCCTCTGGGTAGAAGGATAGCATGTAGAAGTCTACTTGCTAAAAGCAGGGCATAGTTATTAGGTTTGAGTATAGGTGAATGTTCCAACCCAGAAATGAGACCAAGAGAGGAGTTCACCAGCACCACACCACACCACACCACACCATACCATACCACACCACACCATACCACACCATACCACACCACACCACACCA